TACAGGTCTGAGTTGAAGGCCATGCCTTTTGATTATGCTCCATTGAGAACACTGCTGTCTAAATAAAATGCTATAAGTTATTTTCTCAGAAGTCAAAGAAATTTTGTCCCATGTTTACAAACCTGTAAAGCAAGACTTGGAGAAGGTATTGAATTACTGCCACATCAACTTGTTCTCCATGACAACATGATACAACGTTTGCCAACAACTGATCATCCAGTGATGGGAGGTGAAACAATAGCTCCACTGCCAAGCGTTGAATCCCTCCTCTCAGTTTTGAAAATGAACCTTTGTCCTTGGCTAATGAAAAAATAAATGTAAGTTAAAAGGCAAAACTATCTGTATCAGTTTCATGGCATTCTTAGGTGTTAAGGGGATCCTTAACCCTTTCACTCTTAAGATCTCATTAGTAATTCTCCTTACTGTCTGCTATACAATTCTCATGATGTTAACTTGGAGAATTTGGTATTGGATCAACTAATAATCCCTGAATTGATATTATTCTTTATTCTCATCAGTAGTCTGCACAATATTGTGTGGAAATTGCAGGGAGAAATTCTGTCTTGGTCACTTATGAGAGTTAAAGGGTTAACCATTCAACTGCCAAGAGTGATGAGCAACTAATTTCTCCTTAGAATGCCACCCCAGAATCACACATTAGGGTGACGAGAATAAAGAAAATGGTTGTTCTTAAGAGTATACTCACTGCATGATCACATAGCAAAATCAGAGATAAAATTGTGTGCTGTCTGAACACTTACAGAAGAACATGGCCAGCTGAGACAAGACTTTGTCATCTGATTGTAGGACACCTTGCACAACTGCCTTTTTCATGACTCTTAAAACAAGTTCTATCAGGCCAGGGGTGGCATCCTTCAATTGCACTAACAGGCCAGGCAATCCAAGCAGCCATTTCTCAACAAGTTCCTGCACCTCAAAAAGCCTGTTATGAAAGATTGTTTTATCAATCACTTTAGCATGACAGAAGAATGGGAAATCACAAGAAAGAAAAAGATGTATGTAGAAATTCAGGTTAACACTAGGATTGATGTAGTGCCTCCCAGATAAGTAAGTTCTGAAGTGGGGCTTATTACTAGATAATTACAATGTAGGTTTTATCAACTGAGTTGATAATGTGAAGTGGCCACTAGAAAGAGATTCTAAAGCCACCACTGTAGTATAAGCCCTTCCTCAGAGTAAGTCCTAATTGTCCAATTTGCTCTGACCTAAGGCTAACCCGCAAAATGTTGGCCTAAGAAACTCTTTAGGGTGACCAATTTACTCTACAGTATATTATCAACTAATTACCTGGATCTTGTAATACTCCCCTACTGACCCAGCACCACAATTTCTTAAGAAACTTACCCCCTTTACCTAATCCACAGGTCAATATATTGTTTATTTCATATGCACCAGTACAAGTGTTGATCTGTATTTGACAGAAAAAAAAGGCATCTACAATAACTAACCAAATAAAAACTCACTCTGAAAAATCCATGTTCTCTTGGAAAACAAGACTTGCTAAAAAATTGATCAACACTCTTTTAGTCCCAGACTTAATGTGACTTGACTGATACAAATTGAATGCTGCATGAAGAAGTTCTCCTGGTTTGCTTGCAATACCCATTTTTATACAACTGCAGTGATATTCAAGAATCTGATGAGCAAATGTGACCAGACTCTCCACTTGTTCTGTCTGAAACTGTTGGCCTGCAGCATCCCCTGATGCTTTTAACTCTAGTGATTCAATGACAAACTCTTCCAGCCTGTGGACTACAGTACGATAGTTCTTCTGCACAGCAGGGCCATTCTTTACAAATAGCATCAAGATTTCACAAATTTTCAGGTTTAGGGTTTGCACAGGGGCATTGGAGTTCTCACCCATAGCTTGCTGAGGAGCCTTTCCTAGCTTTCTCCTTCCTCTCTTCACCACTGGTGTATCCAAGACTGAAAATGGAAAGAAACTCATCAAATGCTGATTGATGTCTTTGAAATAAACATCCAGTAAGTCGTCTCCAGGTTTGTGTATTTCAGAGACTTTAGCGTTTGTCTGTTTTTCCTGGGCTGCTTTGAAGACAATTTTAAGAATTTCTGTCACAGCCAACATAACATCAATAGATGAGGAAGATACCATACTGTTAGGTAGTGCAGTTGTCATTTGAGCAGGACTACACTCTATCCAACATTCCAGTAATAAAGGTACAATTACTTCCATGAAATCCTTTACCATCTGTCTATCAGTTAAAATATTGTTTTTACTTTCTGTGTTTAATGCTGTAGTTGCTGTGCCGCTATCAAAAGTGAAGGAGTGTAAAGTTGGTTCTTCAACTGAATGTTCTAAAACCTGGATTCGAGTTGGCTTTTTCTTGTCAAAATTAATTGTTGGTTTTTTACTTGGTAACTCAACCAGGTTTGCTGATGATAATGGATTGGAATTGGAAGAAGATTCCAGGGCTTTCAACAATGCCAATAATTGCTGTAGAATTTTGAGACGTGACCTTAGAGAAGAAAGTTTCCCCTTTGGATTCACAGCAAGTCCTTTTCCAACTTTATGTTGTGGCCCTTTTGACTGCTTTGTACCTGGAATGTTCTGACGTGAAATCATACCCACAAAGTTTTGAATCAGCTGTGAAGAGCTTCCAACCATTAGATTAGGAAAATAACGAAGACAAAGCTCAAGAAATCCAAGTGAATCATGTTGTATGTCATCATAAATGTGCGTCATAGCACAACTTAAATGAGCAATCACTAGTGCAGCAAATGGTACCATCTTTTCTTGTGATACTAGTGGGAATATGAAACAGAGTAACAGGAGAAGTGACTGTCGGACTGATGGGTCACTATCAGTCATTTTCTCGCAAATTCTTTTGATTACAATTCCAAGATTTTCGTGGAGGAGATTCTCGTGATGTTGGAACAGATCCTTAAGACCTCCCAGTGCTTGCTGCCTTGTGTTCACACTGTAATGACCCACTTGGGCAAGTAAATCCTATGGAATGAGCAGAGGATAAACCAGGTTAAGAACTTTAATACTTAGGAAACCTATCCCCTTTATCAATCCTTTATTCCCAAGATCTGACAGCTAATTCTCCCCTCAAGCCACTCGACATTTCCTTGTAAATTACATGTAGTTATCAGAATTATAAAAACGGCCACCACAGGTCACCCCAGCTTATGGCACCACCTTAAATATGCAAATGTTTATGTTACGGAAATTCAAAACTTTTTCAGAATCATTTTGTTCATAATGCGACTGCATACTAGGCTCGAGGAGTTTGGGGTACCTGTGCAGCCACGTGCAAAACTAAACGTCACCCATAAGTCAGAAATGAGATGTGACCGAGCCCGTAAGATTTACGTTATTGTACATCCTTACACCAGAAAAGTAAAGTCGAAATTCTTGTACCTTCATGGTCTGGTTCCTTTGATTTGTTGGCACACTGTCGAGTGTATGAAGCTGAGCTGGAACGAAGATCCCTCTTGATTTAAATGAAGAGTCTGTGGCATTCTCCGCAGGTTTAAGTTTCTTTCCAACCTTAAACTTCACCTTCTGGAAGTCCTGTTCCTTAAGTTTCCTTTTCCTTTTATTTTTAGCCATGCTTCTTGGAAAATTGGAAAATATAACGAAGTAAGTTGCCTTTCGCCGGCGAAAAGTTTTGACTGTAAGTTTGACGCCAGCGAATTATCTGGCAGCGGCGTGAACTTTAGCGCAAGCGCATTTAAAGACCTTCCAAAAGGAAGGTCTTGTAGAAGAGGCATCTTCATGTAAATTACACTAATAGGGTGAGATCGGGAACAAAGATGGAGTTCGTTTGTGCTCAGTTCCCACGGAGAAAAGCTTTCATAATTTGATCAGTTTGTTTCTACTGAGGTATTAACTATTTTATTTTGTACTTTGGCTATTTATCAGTATTCCAAAGGTGGACTGAAATGATTTATTCAGCTTTTGTCTGAAAAATGCTAGCTTGACGCGTCGTGTTGTTTGTTTAGCTTAGCAGTTATGGATTCCAAAGTGGCAGTGTGCATAGATTTTCAACTTGATCAGATCTATACGATACATTAAAATTACTTAAGTATTTTCTATATTTTGGAACCTTCGCATATGATTTTTTCACAAGGAAGACAGCACAATCCTCGTAAAAATCACAAATAGAATTCCAAGTTGTGTCTATATGACATGTAATGCCAAGTTCGTCTGTAAATGATTGATCGTTGTCTTACTTCTTACAACTCTTAATCATGCATAGAGATTAATGCTGGAAAGTATGTTTTAAGTGTGTTAGATCCACAACGAGTAAGATTGGTACATGGTTGATTTCTAATCTGTCACATTTTCACGGTCATGAGATCAAATGCTAACTTTATTAAGTTAACCCTTTTGCTCAAAATAATGCTAAAGCCGAAAAAGGAACTTCTTCTCACGATTTCTATACATTTGAAGCAGAAAGGGGATGGGAAGGAAGAAAGATGACAACAAGAGAATATGATTTGGTTCAACAGAAAATTCTTAAAGGAGAATCTATGAGACATGTGCAGAAGACATTGGAGAGAAATGACATTTAGATCTTGAGAATGAAAGGGTTAACACCATCATGTTGTATGTTAATAATTTCATGGCCTGTTAGTGGGTGTACTGAAGCAGTTGCTCCATGAGCTCCAGCAAATCCAAAATGTAACCATTTTGTTTATTAAATTTAATGTTAAACTGTATGTCTCGAGATTTGGAGTTACTATAAATGGTAGAGTCAAGCTACAGTGTATGTACATGTACTTACTAAGGACAACATTAATTCAACTCTTATTTATCAGGTCAGGTGCCCAGTCACCTTATGGTATGGCAAAGACAAGCCATTTATTTAGTCAAGATGTCACAATCTTTAATTGATACCTTAAATCTTTAATTCAGTTGATGGTTACTCTACATTTGTATTTATTTATCATCAAAATTATGTTGAGCAAACACATGTTTTGTAATATCACTCTCCTGTTTTTACAGTGGACAAGATGGCAGCATCTGCAAGTCCTGCCTCTGTCACATCTCCACAGGAGGCTGGACCAGCAAACATCATCAAGATGTTTACGACATACACTAACATTCTTACAGAAGCCTCTGTTCGTAAGTACTACTGTAGGTTGATCTGTGTATCTCTGAAATCTTCACAGAATGAAGTGTCATTTTCTACTTGCTGAGTGAAACACATCATGGTTGTTAGAGACTTACAAAGGTCAATTTTTGCCAAAATTTTTTCACTTGTTTTCTACTTACATTGTAGTAGTAAACTTACATTCTTACTTTGTGTTATTATTTAAAGCTGAAGATAAAAAATTGAAGGCTGCACAAGAAATCAGTGAAAACTTTGAGGTTTGTACCTTTTGGTTTGCATTTTTGTTAAGTTTCATGTACTGTAGACTTAACAAGTACTAACAAGGGAATGTTTAAGAACAACCATCTATATGTTGCATTATACATTCACAAGTCATAGGGGATAGCATGTCACTTGTAGTAAAACTTACATGAATTTATCAGAATCACATTTGATTTTTTCAGACAATTGTCCAGTCTACAAGTTATACAGCATTCTTGGAGCATTCAATACCAAGATTTGTACAGTATCTTAGAGAAGGTAAGATTTTCTTTTATAGTGTGCACATTTCCTTGCATAGAAAGCTATATTCAGCATCTTCAGCTACAAGTACTTGTATTTTTTTTTGTTTTCACAGGAGAGCCACATTTTGTTACTGAAGTTCCTACACAGGTACACTGACATGTAAACCTTCAATGCCCTAACGTTAGAATGTTTAGTGTCGACACTATTCTCCATACATTTCCTATTGTTCTAACAAGGAGAATTGTCTTAATCAACAAGAGCTTCTTCACTCAGTCAGTACATGATTGGCCAGTCAGATCAAGTCAAACTTTCAACAGTTTTCTGAGTTTTGCAGTAAGAGTCACAATGTTTGTAACAAAGTGGTTAAATAGAGTTTCACAGTGTCCTTATACGTTTTTGACACCTTCTTTTTTAGCAACTGAGAAAACTTTTACTTGAGATTCTGCATCGTATACCTACCAATGAACATCTTAGACCTCATTTCCAGGTATGTTCTAAGTTTTCATAGACCTGCATGGACATGCCTTCAACCCTTTAATGCCCATGAGTGACCAAGACAGAATTTCTCCTAACAATATCAATAAAATATCAACCAGATAAGTGATGAGAATAAAGAAAATATCAATTTGGGGATAATTAGTTGATCCAATACTAAATTCTCTGAACTAACATTATAAGAATTGTGTGGCGACAGTAAGGAGAATGACAAATTTGATCTGGGAGTTAAAAGGTTAACTGCAAAGTATAAAGTATATAGGAACTTTAGAGAGCACAAACTTCATGTATTTGCAAGAGGTGCTCACAGTGTACATTGATTGTAGATTGTAGATTCTTGATTGCTTTCCAGACGTTCCAACTACTTTAATATGTAAACACAATGAATTTTCATCAGCAAGCAAAATGGGAATATGAAGTATGCTTCAGCAATTAAATTTGATTATACAATTAACTAGCCATATCAATAGTTATTTGAGCTTTTTTCTTCCCTTTCAGTCCATATTGTCTTTGATGTTTCATCTACTGGAGGTAAGTAGGTCATGGTGTAAAGCATATATCCAAAAAATGTAATTGTTAATGATATTCATCATTCTTTGTTTTGGTTATATGCGCAATGAATGATAGTCTTTTCTCTCATGCAGATTGAAAATGAAGAGAATGTATTGGTGTGTTTGAGGATCATTATTGAGCTCCACAAACAGTTCAGACCACCTTTACAATCTGAGGCAAGTCAGTCCATAAATTTGTGTACCTGCATGTTTGCACTGAGTAACATTCAATTTTGCTCAAGGCTCTCTCTTCTGTGCAATGTAACAGTTAATTTACATGACATTTGCAGGAAGCTACATGTCTGATCACAATTTTGGTGAATTTCTTTTGCTACAGATACAACACTTTCTACAGTTTGTGAAGACAATTTACAAAGATCTACCAACAAATGTGGTATGAAATGTACAATGTTACATTATGTTAGTGATTTTATTTTCAATTATTCATCAAAAAATTATTTTTCATTCGTCATACTTATAAATTTTCATCCTTCATATTTTATCTCTAATTGCACTCAAACCAGTAATAAGAAGAGTGTAACAAAACTAACTGATAAATTGGAGGTAAATTATCATGTGGATATTGGCTGAGACATGAGTGATGATTAATGATCATCGGATTGCATATTTATTTGCTTGCAGAAACAATTTTTTGATGTAGTTCCTATATCAGCTACCGGCTTTTTACCAGAGGGGAATGCTACAACTGCAACTACCACTACCACCCCTGGGATCAACAGTGGAGCTGCCTCCACCACCTCCCCCCTGAACAGTGGGGATGCGGGGGGTGGTAAAAGTGGACAACAGGTTGGTTGGTTTATCTTACAATATCATTATTATTGAAACACGTAATTCAGGAAGTGCACATAATATACTGAGTAAAATTTCATATTTGCTGTATGCATTCTTATGATCAAGTAATGCCCTGATCAATTTGAAGCTTCAAGCTTCTCTCCCTCCCCCTTCCCCTCCCCCCCCCCACGGCAATCCATGGGCATTTGACCTTGCCCATGTCCTAGTGGTGGGGAATATGAACCTGAACTGTCAAGCCTTTCTAGTGGAAAACAATTGTTTTATCTTTGAATAATTATGGTGTTGTTTTAGGGTAAGTAGTTTACTTTTGTAAGCAAAAGGCTTAGAAGAAAAGGTACACAAGGTCTAAGTTTTAAAGCTTGGTCAATGTGCATAAAGTCATGGTTGATGATGTTGCCTTTTATGAAAAAACCGGGGAGGGCATTTAGGGAAGGGGTGTAGAAGCCCCAAAATTGATCAGCGCATAACAATTTGCTATACATGACTTGTAATGAATTAACAGCAAATATACTTTTCCTTCAGACATTAATTCCAAAGGCAGTGAATTCACTCAAAGTACTGGCTGAGTTACCCATCATTGTTGTGCTCATGTACCAGGTAAATGTTTGTAGTTATTAATAGTTATGTTAAATGATGTGTTAGCTTGGGTTTTTTTCTGCGTTTGTCATGCCTATGAAGTGTGATTGTATTGATTTATCTGTCATCATTTCCTTTATGCAGTTATACAAACAGAATGTCCACAGTGTTGTAGCAGACTTCATCCCATTGATCATGAATACCATTATTCTACAACCCTCTCTTACAGCAAGGTAACAATCTGTGTTACTCTGATTATCATATCAAGTTTCAACCTAGAAGTGATACAGTGTAGTTGGCCAGATAGCATGATTGTTCAGGCAAAGGTAGTCCTGAAAAATTGTCCAGGTTAGCGTAATTCAATAAAGGAGAGCTGCCGTTGACAGTAGTTGAATACATGTACATATATATTATGTTTTCAAATGGTAATCAAGAGAGACAACTCATTACCAAATGGATACTTGCATGGAAAAAGCACTACTGACAGTACTATAAGTGACTTCTAAAAGTCTGTTGGATTTTCCAATCAGATTGTTATGTATTCCATTGTGAAACAGAGGGCGAAAATAAATGTTTCACAAAAGTTCATTAACAGCTTTTCACTATCCACCCTTTCACTAGAAATTGGCGATGACTTTGCCCAGGTTTTTTAGATGCGGCATCTTTTGATGACTACCCACATATGTACAACTGCACTACAGATGCACAGCAGTGAATGTATGAAATATACTCTGAATGTTACTGAAAACAATCTTGCAGCTCCAAAAGCTGTAAAGCTGTAATCTTCTGTGGTCACTTGAGTGTTGTTAACAACTCAACGGTAGTCTTATGTGGATACTGATCATCTTTTATTCATTTTCTATTCTTTAGAAAATCTCCCACATTCAACAAGGAGGTGTATGTTGATTTTGTAGCAGCGCAAATCAAAACACTGTCATTTTTGGCATACATCATCAGAATTTATCAAGATATGGTGAACACATATTCACAGAACATGGTAGGAGGAATGCTGGGTCTGCTGCGCTATTGCCCACAGGAAGTTGCTCACCTCAGAAAAGAACTACTGATTGCTGCAAGACATATTCTGGCCACAGATCTTCGAAAAAGTAAGCAGGTTTTATAGAGACAAAACTGAGTCTGATTCTCTCAGGGAACACAAGGATGACATTTTATTCTTCACCCTGGAGTTATTTATTGGGGTGACATGACAAAATGCTGCCTGGTAACACAGGGTTAAGCAGCAGTAGTTATGGGCCAATAGTGGCCTTAAACATATAACCTTTCCTGTCGCTCCATTACATTTGGCTGAGATCTCAAATTTCTCCACAGGGTTTGTACCTCACATTGATCAACTATTTGATGAGGAAGTCCTGATTGGTAAAGGTTGGACCACTAAAGAGTCATTGCGTCCATTGGCATACAGTACCCTGGCTGATTTGGTTCACCATGTTCGTACTCACCTTCCATTACCTCACCTGTCACTGGCAGTTCATATGTTCTCCAAGAATGTACATGATGACTCACTCCCTGTCAGCATTCAAACCATGTCATGCAAGGTGAGTGAAAATTGCAAAGCACAGATCAAATGCATCTTTTTACCTGGGGAATAGATTGGTGGTCAGTATACTGGCATATTCTGTAGTTGTTAACAAGCTCTTGTCAGGGGTTGGGTGGTAATCTAAGTAGTATATACTTAGTATCATAGTATTTAGTCTTGATGGTACTCTAGTATGAGGTGGTTCATGCCGCCAGGAGTCATAGTAGTTGGACTTTAAGTACTGTAGGCAGCTCGACAAACAAAGAGGCAATGATGAGTAAAGCATAGAGGGTGTAAAGTAAGTGGCCATACTGCACATAGCAGAGAAGAGAAAGGAAGTGAAGAGATAAGAAATGAAGAGAAGGGAAGAAATGAGATGTGAAGAGATGACAAGAAATGATTGGATTGGAAGAGAGGAGAAGAGAAACAAGGAAACGAGAGGAGACTGGACAAAAACTGAAGGGAAAGGGTGAGAGGAGAAGCTAATAGAAGTGAAGGGAAGGGAAATGCAAACAGGTTGACCAAAAATTCGATAAAATGGGAAGGTGGTTTCATGGGTTGACTCCTAACTGCAAACCTTATTTTTTTTCTTAGCTTCTTTTGAACCTTGTGGAGGGAATCAAGCAGAAAAGTGATGATCAAGGAACTGTAAGACATTGCATTTACAATTTATATTCACAAACCAGCTGAGACACATAAATTTAAGATTCCCTCTTTTACTATTATAGCATTTTTGTTAACTGATTTCTTTTTTTTTCAGGGACGTGAAATTCTTATGAGGATGCTTGAAGTATTTGTCAGAAAATTCCAATCAATTGCTAAGCATCACGTTCCAGCTATCTTCAAGAGATGGTACTTTATCTTGAGTTTGGTTCTTTTCTTTGAAGAGATTGTCAATGACTACATACATGTAGACTTAATTAGAACTGAAGATCAGATCAGATCAGAAAACAGAACTTTACAATTTTACCAATTCATTTAACAATTGTCACAATATGATGATGATAAAAATGAAGGATTTCCATATTTCCTTATTTCCATATCCAAGAGTTCATGGTGCTTTTGGAACTTTGATGGAAATTTGGCCAGACTGCATTGAGAAGTTCATAGTTTTTTTTAGAGGAAAGTTAAATTCCATAAAGGATACAGTAGACCTTTGTAGGTGTCTTTTCAAAAAAAAATTTTATTGTGCTATATAAAGCATAGCCACCATAAACTATGTATCGATTAAAATGTTATGAAATTCACTATTCAACAAAAATTATTTTGTCTTAGCTTGATCTAATTGTAGACCAAATGGGCTGTGGCAATGTGAAATGGACAATGTTTCTTTGAGCGAACTAATTGCATATCAAATCTGACTACACAAATGATAATAATTTTTTTAGCCCTCAAATGAGTGAAGTCCAAGCACAGCAGCAGTCTTCATCACAATCAACGTCAGTTATACCATCTGTAACAACAAGCACAGCTGCTGATCGCAGCTCAGTGTCCAGCATAACTTCAACTTCCACTGCTTCAAGTTCCTCCTCAGCAGCAGTTGAAACCCAGTCTTCAGACAAACAGGATCAAGATGTGACAAAGGTTTAAACAGTTACATGTATTTACATGCAGAGATAATAAGTGACTCAAAAGCTAACAAACATCAATGCCATGAAATTACATTTTACCAGCTTCAGTAAAGCAAATTCAGGAAGATTTTCTAAATATTAGTATATTTTTTATTACTGGTATCTTATATTTGATGGGTTATTTTGTAATAATCATTGCAATGAGCCTCCCTCTTTTGGGGTGAGTTATAACTAGTTAAAATAAATAATCTTTATTTTTCTTTGTTTCCTGATAGAAAATGGCTGGTGCTTCAGCTGGTAAGCTATTTTTCTCAAATAACATTTTTTTTTTACAATTATTCTTCATCTAGAAAACATACAAATATTGATGTACTGTACATGTGTTCAAAATGGTTCTTTTCCTTGAAATTTTAGTGGGTCCCAGTCCCCCAAATGCCTTCTCTGTCCCTGACTGTCGCAGTATGGTGAAGACTCTTGTGTGTGGAGTTAAGACAATCACATGGGGTGCAGGTTCCCGCAAGGTAATGGGAGGTAAGATATTTCACTTGGTGTAGATTATGACATGTTTTCCATCAGTTTTCTAGACAGGAGTGAGGGCATTATAACATATAGCAATTGATAAACTGTTTAAGAAACTTTAATCACTTAAATGTACACAGGTTGGGACAGACTGTTGGATCCAAAATTGATCACAACCTACCTGGTAATTGCTGTTTAATGACAAATGGCACATTCAAAGCACGTATTAAGTGTTGGCTCCAGTTATCACCTTGCTAAGCCTTCTTTCAAATATTTCAAATCTCATGTGTAAGTTTCCAGAAATCTACTTTGAGGACTACTGAGAGCACTTGGAGTTCTTTTTCCTAAGTATGCTTGTGTCATCCACTTAGTAACAACATCATCTTTCCCCCAATAAATGTTCTTTCACCACATTAAGGACTCAATATTGGTTTCACTTTCTTAAAGCTGCAAATGATATCAATGCTCCTGCATCAGCTCAGGCCAATAAAACATTCCTTCCATGGGAGACACATCTATTCACAAGACTTCTGAAATATGGTGAGGATAAGTATAGGGTTCTGGGTAGACTTTTTTTAGTGTAGGCCTATAGCCATGGCTTAAGGATATAGATTCTAAACATGGTCCTCTGCTACAAACTACAAGTTGAATGAATCAGGTCCAGCCACAGTGCTACTCAAAAGTAAGTTGACAATCTTGACTTGAAACTTGATCTTTGATCGTCAAAAATATCAGGAATTGAGGCTCAAGAATCAAAAAGAGAGGTGCTTCAAGCTGTAGCTTGGACATTCAGGGCTTGAAGACACCATCCAATACAGTTCTGCTTGAGGCTGTAAAGGTCTTGTGGGATACATTCAGTGTCTGCACAGAGTTGATTGATTTAAGTTTTGGCAGGGTGTGACCCTGCAGGAAGTTTCTTCTACCAGTAATATCTGGACTTGGAACTTGATCCTTGATTCTCAAAACTTTTGAGAATTAGGAATAGTTTAAGGCTTGAGTTTCAGGAAGCGAGTTTCAAGGGACTGTCAATATACTTTTTTAGCAGTACCATAGTTGTAGTTCATAGGCTAACTTGTTCAAAACCAAGTGACCCACATTGTAGAATCTTATCCCAGTTTCCATAGCATGAAGCTGCTTATTACATTTGCTGACAGACTTAAATTTTGAATTTTAGCCCTTCAGGCTTTAGATATTTATCAAGTGTCTATCAGTCCTAATGGACAGTATTATCTCAGGCCTCCAAGGTATGTTATAAATTCTTCTCACTTTCTGCCCTTGTGCCATACATTTCTTGTCATTTCAGCTTGAAGAATTTGGCATTAAATCAGTATCTCATAGAATATATTTCTTGTTCTTCTTATCACCTGCTTGAAAATGCACTGACATTGCCAGGAGAAATTTCTTTTTGATCACCTCTAGGACTTAAAGGGTTAAGTTTTTACAGTTTGTGAAATTTGAAATTATTCGATTTATGATTCTGTCAACATAACCCTTTAACCTCAAAAAGTGATTAGCACCTTAATTCCCCTGACATTATCACAGTAAAATCAAATATTAAGGTTATAAGAATAAACAAAGTGACCACCAACTTAAGGAGATCTGGATTTTTTGGGCAAATTCTCCTTTTTTACCCTTTAGCAAATGTAAAGAAAATAATATTAGCTATACTGATATTTGGGTATAAAGGGCTGAATCACATGTCCTTGTTTACTATTCAGTTCTCAGCAAGTGAGAATGAAAGAAGAAAAGGAAATCTTGGAACACTTTGCAGGAGTTGTAAGTACAATGTACTTTGTGCTTGTATTGTACATCTTCACTGGGTCATGGTTATCTTGCTCTTACTCAAGAAGTTAAAAACAGTTAGGGGACAAAAACTTATCTTGGTAAGAATTTTTTTTTCTGTATCTTGTGTAGTTTACTATGATGAATACATCTACCTTCAAGGAGGTCTTCACTGCAAGTATCAAGGTATTTGTAACTCTCAGAAACAAATTAAATTATTATTGGCAATATTTTACTAGGCTGGTCCAGTTCAGCTGCAAGCTGGTTTTGATGGGGACCTGAAATCCTGTTTGTTGTTTATTTGATTTTTGAATCTTTGCATAGAATTTGCCTTCTCTGAGAAAGGTGGATACAGCACATGGGTGTGATTTGTAGTTAATTTTGTTAGAATTATAACAAATACTTTCCCAAAGTGGGGATAATGATGATACAGCTGTATATATGTAATGTTTGATAATACTTACTGTACTAAACAAACAGCAAATCATATTTAAAAAGGTGCATAGTTTTTTTAATGGTGTCCAGATGTTTTATGAATTTTAAACTGACTGTTTTATTCCTCTTTCAGTATCTGGTGGAGAGAATACACACAAATTATGCTCTGCAGGTGAAAACCAATGGTTTGTGTATAATTATGAGCAATGTAGTGAGGTCCTACACAAAGCTGATGTACAAGAGAATGTGGATGACAACATGCTTCCCCCCCCTTCTCATACATGTTTAATTAGCTGTGATACTCTGAGTAAAGGTCAGAGTATCACAGCCAATTAAAAATGTACAGGAAGGGGGGGGGAAACATTGATTATCAGGTGTTTCTATGGCTAAAATTGGTAGATATTATTGCCAAACTTACTCAAAGCTTCTCCAGAATAATTCAAAGTAAAGAAGTTGGAAAGCTGGTTCCTGGTTTATTTACAGTTTGAATGTACTAATTAAAATCAATTTGAACATGAAGAAGAACAGAAAGAACTCTTTTCAATGTCCAGGACTGTAAAAAATCCACATCATCTTCCAGAACAGGAAGATCTCCCTGAAAATATCACTTCTTCCTTGTGCCATAAATTTCTCATAATTTTGCTAGCTCTGACAAAATGTAATTCAATTAAGCAATACCCCTTTGATGACAATTGTCTTTTTTCTCATCACATCTTTGCTTAAAATGTAGTGATATTTTAGATAAGGAATAATTTCTGGTCACTCCTCAAATTAAAGTTAAAGGGTAATTTTGCATTTCTGCTCCTCTTTCAGATCATCCCAAACTCCTTTCTGGCCAATCCCAACACCTCAGCCACTTTTGCTACAATCCTTGTACGGTTCCTCCTGGACAGACTGGATGAAATGGGAAGTAAGTTTTACATGTAAATGAAGGAAACAAAAACAAACTAATTGTTTAGTGTATCAATCCTGGACCTGAAATTCTCTTTTTTTTTTCAAATTCTATTGACCATTACTTTTAAATTAATCATGGTACACTACTACACCCAAAGAATTAAGGAAGAAAAATGACTGTATGAAAGATAAATCTGAGCAATATTAATGCTTTTGTGATTGTACTTTTTTAGCAAACATGGAGCGCTCTAACTTATATCTGAAGTTGTTCAAGTTGGTGTTTGGTTCAGTTTCTTTGTTTGCATCTGAAAATGAACAGATGTTGAAGGTGAGAGGAACTTTGTGAAGCCACAGCCATGTAACAAAAACTTTGTTCTCATGAGTATATGTATATGTACATGAACTATTGAATAATGCAACCATCACCCCAATTTCCAACCATTTTGGTCACCATGAGGAGTAGAAATGTTTGTTGTAGCAAAATCTGCCAATGAAGCTGTAATTGGTTATAGTTTTAATGAAATAAATTTCATCTGACCTATGCATGAAAATCAAGCAAAAAATGATCCATGTAAGGGAGCTGCAATTTTAGCAATTGCAGAAAAGAGGCCTCAGGCTATGACAATTTCGAACCCATGACACACAGATTCTAGTTTGGCACTGCCACTAGCTTTAGGAACAAATTTTAGAAGGGTTCTTCTTTTCTAGGGAGGAAACTGATCAATATTTATTGAGAAGTAAATTTCATTTTACCTGCACATAAAAATCATATAAAGCAATGATCCTTGCAGGTCAGCGAGGATAATTGGAGATTTTTTACCTATTGTTCACAGTTTTAAATCAGAGTGAGATAAACATTTCAATAAAATGAGATAATATTTATTTAATAATATTTTTAAAAAATTATCCTTTTCTCTTTTTCCTACAATTTCTGGTGACAATTTTATGAGTACAGGTTGTCTGGGACTTTGAAAATTCTGGAGGTTGGCTCCAAACAGTTCTGTAACTTCCACATCACTGAATAGCTTGACTGTTTGATTTTCTTTTGTAGCCTCACTTGCATGAGATTGTGAACCGATCCATGCAACTTGCCTGCACCTCTAAGGAGCCATACAATTATTTCCTGTTGCTGAGAGCACTGTTCAGATCCATAGGAGGAGGTAAACATCGCAATCCTATAAACTGATGATAATTATCAATGTCAATTTTTTAGTCTTGGAATTAAACTTTACAGTTGTACAGTGTTTTCTTAGGATCCCATGTTGGCCTGCTGTGAATCTGTGCTCAAATAGATCATCAAAATGTGATAAGAACAAGAAAGTAGTACATGAGGCACAGCCAAGTGTGTCACTGAAGTTCAAACCACATTTTGATGCCTCCTCATATCTTGACTGAACATACCAGTGGCAACATGAAATCTACCAGTATTTGTTTACATGATAAAGAAGTAAAGTGTTTTAATGATGACAACATCTTTTTGTCTGTCCTCTCCTGGGTCATAAGTAAAAACCAATCAAAATGTGTGTTTAATTCTGCTTATTATTAATAGAAATACTGTTGGGAAAAATATTAATGTTGATTATGATGTTATTCTATTTTTAGGAAGTCATGACTTGCTGTATCAGGAGTTTTTGCCTCTCTTACCAAATCTTCTACAAGGTCAGTTTATCTGGTAACCTAAGATTCATTTTCTCACTGTTGTTTTGCAAACTTCCAGACTCTTATGCCTTTTTTTTCTTCAACTCTTGTTCCTTTTTTAGGTTTGAACAACCTTCAGAGTGGAATCCATCGTCAATACATGAAAGATCTGTTTGTGGAGCTGTGCCTCACAGTACCTGTCAGACTGAGGTAGAACAGAAAACTGGCTTACTAATTTTTTGGCTTAGAAAACACATTTGGGATTATATTTCTAGTGAAAGAGTGTTAAATTTTCTGATCAATTTTTAAAGCTACCACATTGGATTGGTGAGATCAGATGAAATGCGAAGTTAATATGAGATTGTACCAGAGAGGTGATATTGAGAGTGACAAACAGTGAAGGAAAAAGGGTCCAGCAAAGACATTATTTCTTCTAATCCTGACCTCCCCCCCCCACCCCCCTTTTTACTGGTTCATTTGCTCTAGGCTTTCCTCAATCTTAACAATCCTATATAGAGGCCTAAACACATGATTGGAATATTTAGAATTTGCCTGCCAGAAAAAATGCCTGCTATGTGAACTGCCAGCCTATTTTCTTAACTGATAGATTAGTTTGACCCTTTTTCTTCTTAATCTAATGATTTATTCCTGTTTGTTGTTTCAGCTCACTTCTTCCCTACCTACCCATGCTCATGGATCCTTTGGTGTCTGCTCTGAATGGGTCCCAGACCCTTGTCAGTCAGGTACTAAGCTTCCTATCTATAATAATAAAGTGTGGTTCAACTAAGAGACAAACGTATGTGGGATTGTCGTGATTTTGCATTGTTTCACTCTGTAATTAGTCAAGAAAAGTTGTGTTACCTCTCACCCTTTAGATGCAGAACTACGAACATTTGTGCCAATGTTTTGCAGTGTTAACCCTTTTCCCCTAGGGAGATATTCCTTTGCCCTGTGCAATTGAAATGCTTTAATACCAATTAATACAAAATTTGGTGTGAAAGGAAAGATTTTTGGGAAGAAAAATTGATATAGTAAAGTAATGTGATTGTATCGTTTGAGTGAAAAAATTCTTAGCAACAATTTATGACGTAAACATTTTGGAAGATAAATTGCACATCAAGGTTCATAGTTATGCAAGGAAAATGATTCAAATTTGCAACATGATAACATGAAGATCTTTGTGATGTTATTAGGGCCTGAGAACTTTGGAGCTGTGTGTTGACAATCTTCAACCAGATTTTCTGTACGACCATATTCAGCCAGTGAGGGCTGAGCTTTTTCAGGTTTGTTGATTATCCACCTCGTTTTATGTAATTTTCTTTCTTGATTGAGGTAGCTCTCTACTTACTTTGTCCTCCCTGAATATCAAAAGGTTTTAATAATCGAACGTTTGATTTTCCAGGCTCTATGGAAAACACTGCGAAATCCACATGACAGCATTGCTCATGTTGCCTTCAGGGTTTTGGGTAAATTTGGTGGCGGTAATCGGAGAATGTTGAAGGAACCCCAAAAGGTTGGTTGGTTTAACAGATTCCCTCGTTTGTAAAAAGTTCCACTGTAAAGCTCAAAGTTTCCCATCTTTCATCTATTTACTCATCTGACACTTTCAAACACGTACTGAAAAAATATTTTTGTTTTCTTTCTTCCAGCTAAAATATAACAACGCTGAAACAAAGGGGCCATGTCTATCAATATTTTACCCAGAAAATACTAATCCTGTTTCACTTCCCGTGACAGCTGTAAGTGTTGAAGCACTCGTTTTCTGTTGAAGAAGTAGCTGTTTATAATTTTATTACTTATTTCAATCTTTTAAGTTAGAGTAAGCAATTTTAAATGAGCATCAAAATTCATCCCTGATTGTGTCCTTTTGCCTTTCACCGCTTTATGATTGGTCAGACAGAAAACCAGTGTCACCCACTCAGCCAATCCGATACAAGACTAAAGTAGAACCCTGTTAACTCAAACTCCCAAGGGAAACAAAAAATGATTTCAAGGTAGCAGAGTTCGAGTGGGCTCAAGGGAAACCAGATCGTGTTTGAGTTACCGTGGGTTTGGGTTAACCGGGATCTGCTGAAAAAGCAATTGCAACTTGCTTAAGATACCATATTTGTTTGTAGTTCACGCAATGTGCTTGTCTTTGCTTTGATTTCTCGTTTACTCCATGTGAAATTTTCCTTACTGGCAGGTGTAATTCCTTGGTTTTGGTTTTACGACATTTAATTGAAGCGCGGTCTGATTACTTTAGCGTATAATGAAATGTTGATGTTGTTGTCTGTGGTAGGTAATCGAAAGAGCATTAACAGTACTCAAGACCCTTCCTCCCAACATGGCGGCGCTTCCTCAGCAGTCACCAATGCAGATTGATCACACTGTATTCTACAGGAAGCAGGCTTGGTTGGTTGTACAGGTAATTTATGTTTCCTCGATACCCTAATTCAGAGGGAGTCCAGGCGCTTGTCAGTGAGTTGGATCTCAGAAATTTGCGAAGTACACTGAATCTGCATTCTGCTCTAAATTTTCAAAATATTCTTTCCCTTTCTCTTCTCTTCCCTTCCTTTCCCTTCTATCCACTTTTCTTCGTTTCCCCTTCCCTTTCCTTCTCTTCTCGTCTCTTCTCTTCGTACCCTTTTCTTTTTCTATTCTTCTCTTCTCAATTCCGTTTTCCTCTTCTCTTCATTTCCTTTCCCTTCGCTTTTCATCCCTTCCTCTCTCCTTCCCTCTCTTCTTTTCCCTTCTTTTCCTAATCCATTCCTTTCTCTCTCCTCTGCAATCACATTTACTCAACAAATATAAAGATAAACTACCTTAGATTTACGTGTAAGTGTCGCTAGCTAGAGAACTTGTCATTGGACTTACTCGTCCCTTTTTTGCTGTAGTCTTTTCTTATAGCCATAATGTCTCTTGAAGACACTGAAGCGATATTTCAACAAGTCTTGCAACACAAGAGGTATGAGACCACCAAACTATTAGCATAGGTTAGATAGTTAAGCTAGTTAAGCTACATGATATATGCCTTGGTTTCAGCTTTGCCACGAAATATTCTCTCGTTACTGATGTCTATTTTTCCTCTCAGCTTTAGAACTGAAAAACCTCCCATTTGTAACAAGACAGCTGTACCACCCTGTCCGGATGAACCATCGAAGAAAGTGTTTGAGCAAGCTATCACTGGTGCATTGTGTAAGTAGGCAATGCCAGACTATATATTTCATCCAAACTAGCTTGGAAAGTAATCACTTGTAACTTACATTTATCTCGGGACAAATTCAGAATCCAATCTATTGCTTAATGTATTGTTGAAAGAGTCGTGTTTGGCCGCGAGGTCTGCCACGTCCGTTTGACGGGGCGTGGAAACCTTACATTTAATGGAGATAAATGATGTAAATTTTGCATTTTTCTTCCCATAGTATCTGGAACAATAAAAGAATTAAAGTCAGAGGCAGTTCCTTTTGTGTCGCAAATTGTGCGACATTACACCATTGTGGGTGTGGTCCAACAAGCCGGACCGTGTCCGATCAAGACTCAGGCAAGGTAACTGACAACTCATTGTTAAAGTGCTTCGGGTGCATTTTTGCCAAAAAAGGAATAAGAAAATGATCGATTGATTAATTTTTGCTCCTGGATCTTCAAGGAATCGCCGAGGAATTGACGTACATGCCATGGTTGATGCTATAGCAGCAGTAATGTCGATGGAGGATAAGGAATTTTACAAAGTGGGTGAATTGGCTGTGGCTGTCATGATTGAAACTGCAAGCGCAATAACAGGAGATCCATACAAGGTTAGTATGGTGGCAGAAGAAAAAAAACCGGTAAACAAAGTCTTAACCACACTTGTGTTTTAGTTATTTCCCCAAAAGGCGTCGATGCCTAAATGTTGTCCGTGAGTGGCGTTTTAGAGTTGACCTGATAGTATAGTGTTAATAAAGCAAAACTTAGTGTTGGCGCTGCAGGCTGCGGGTTTCTCCGCGGGAAGAGCAGTGTTCGTGCCGAAGCGCTTATAGTGAGGGCAGTTTGCAGGCTATCTTCTCACTCCCTCTTACTTTGGCAGACGTTTTAGGGTTCTGAAAGTGGCAGATTCTACTTGAATATTGGCTTTTTGATTAAAAACTGAGGGGACGATCTTGTCATCTTGTAGGCTGCAAGGCTACCTTTGTTTGAATACCTTTCTGAAAAACTATGTGGATGTTGTTACGAGAGGGCGTGGTTTGCAAAGAATGGAGGGTAAGTTGCATACCTTACTTTTCAAACTTTAATTTGATGTTTCTGTTAATTCTTGTACTTCTTAATCGGCATGCTCAACAGACAAATAAAATACATTTTGTTTGTTCGTTTATTGTTCAGTTGCACGGCCATCAACTTCCTAATGCAGAAAATGCCTGTTCAATGGATCATTGAGCATCAACTGAACTTCATTAACGCATTGTGTTTTGTAATGATGGACCTCACAAACGAGGTGAGTAGGGGTTGCATAGATTGTCGTGTATCGTGCATGATAATCCTCACCTAACTTTTTCTTCTTCCTCCTCGTTTGTAGGATTATGATAAGTCCCCTCTGTAATAAGCCCCCCTCTTCAATGAACCCCCTCTCTATTTAGCCTCCCTCTCCATAAGCCCCTTCTGTCATAAGCCCCCTCTCCATAAGCCCGTTAAGTAATAAGCCCCCCTCTCCGATTACCCCCCTCTGTAATAAACCCTTTTCCCAGTTAACCCCTCTCTAATAAGCCCTGCTTTAACAAAACCCTTCTCAAATAACCTCCCTCTATTTAACCCCCCCTCTCCAATTAGACCCTGTCTAATAAGCCCCCCTCCGACGAACTTCTCTCTGACAAGCTTCTCTCTTCAATGTACCTCCTCCCTGATGATACTCCTCTTATGAGCCGTCTCTTTTACAAACCCCCCCTCTCTGGGAAGCTTCCCTTTCAAATAAACTCCCCCTCTCTGATGAGCCTTCTCCCTTATTAGGGCCCCCCCTCCTTCTCTAATACACCTCTGACTAATTTATTTCCTTGAAAATAAGCTAAGAGAATCTGCTGTAATATCAGGGTAAAATTCTTGAGTTGATAACTTTTGGTATCATTTAAAGATATTGTGAGGTTTTATTCTTCCAGCTTTATTAGATGCTGTAAGGGTAAAGACGACTCTGCTTAGTTTTTAAGGTTTGTCTTTGGTCTTTTTCTTTCTTTTTAAGGTGTCAGCTGGTACTGTTGACAGAGCTAAACAGACGTTAGAGGCTCTTCTTAAACAGTGTAATGCCCCTAAGGCTGGAGAGGTACGATAACAATAGATGCTCATGCATTTGTCTTCAGAGACTATCTTTTCAGAGAAGCAAAGAGTCTGTTCAGTAATAGCTCACAGATGACGTCAAAATGTGGTGAGAACTAAAGAGTGGCATCTGACGTACAGCTTAAGGTGTCATTGGTGTTATTGCAACATGCTGACGTCATCTATGATCTATTACCGAACAGACCCAGAGCAACATGGAATTGTTCAATATATTTTAACGTGGAATCTATTTATTAATCAGACATTATCCGTTCAGAGAAACGAACATTTGAAGTTTTAGTTTAATGATAGTGATAAGACTCGTATTGTAATCTGTCCAACTGTTTATCAACGTTTGACTTCACGAACATGCTTCGATTTTGATTCAGGATAAAAATATTGCTGCAGTGAGGGAAAAGGTCCTGCCTTCAGTCACTCAACATCTTGTAAAGGAAATTGTTTCACCAAACCAAACCATTCGGCAGCAGGTTAGTTCATGTGTTTTCTATACTTATACGTCGTCTAATAGGTTTGATCTTGCTGTTACGAGAGCTTATCCTGGTAGCATACCACGAGGTGAGAGGAAAAACTGCTACCCCTCTCTATCCCTCCAAGGTGACTACTTGTGCACTTCCCCACCCCTCCCCCCTTCCCAGCAATTCGTTGAGTTCCTGGAAAAGTTTTTGATGTCCATTTATCCTCCAGGGTCGAAACAGGTCCAAGAACGTCAGAGAACGAAAGAGCTTTGCAAATCTGAATGGACACGAAATACCTGTTTCTACAAAATTAACGGGCACTTCTTTATCCACAGGCTCAACATTCTGTTTCTGTGCTTGCCGAGATTTACAAAACAACCGTTCACAATATCATGCTTCCCCACAAAGGAGTAAGTTTAATTTGTGCCACTTTTATCACTTCCCTGTTATGAAATTCTAGTAAAATGAAGAAAATGACCTAACTTTCCTAATGATTGAAACTGACCAATCATAACAGTCACGCGCTACTCGAGGCGAACAGTCAATAATAACACTCCAAACTGACCAATCAGTTTTCACAGGTCAGACAAACAACTCCTCCTTGGACTCTGATGAGACTTTCGCTTAGGTTTTCGAAATGTTAATAATTATCACTAACAACAGCCTTTTCTTGGAAAAATTGGATAAGATAAGTCCTCCATCATTTTTTTAAGGTAAACCAAGGGTACTAAGTCACAATCAAAACTCAGTTTACTGCAAAACAGCAACAGCAGCAAGAACAGATAACCTTTTACTCTAAAATGAAGTCTCTGGAAATGCGCATTCGAAACGTCAATAGGCGACCTAGTTAATCGAAAAAGTGTTTCTTCTTTTTGTCTGGTAATTTTTTCTTTTTAATTTTTGTTTGTAGATTCTGGAAGACATGATTCCACCAAAGGTAGGATTTATCAAAGTAACACATGGTTAAAATGTAGACAATGAACAGAGCGCATTCCAATGATTGATATAAGAACAAAACCAAAGTAATCAAGATGAACAATCAGAGTGAAGGAAAATTTTTAAAGTAGCCAATGAGAACTCAAACTAAAACGAGAAAACTATCTAAAGCGCGGGAAAACGCGGGTGTCCAAGTTGCGATCAGGGTTAGTCTTGTATCTGATTGGTTTAGGATTAACTTGAGCTTTAAAGACCATTCATTGAGCAGCGTGAGGTGAAAACCAACGTAATTGCAGATTACTTTCGGCACTTAATCGAAAACTGTTTAATTGCTGTGAAAGCTTATTAAATAGAGTCACTTTTTCTGTCATTCTCAGAAACATCTTCTGCGTCATCAGCCAGTCAACACTCAGATTGCATTAATGGTATGACAGTTTCCATTATTATTTGTACGTAGTCCGAGTTTTATCTTTTTCCTTAGACAAAAGTATCTCATTTGTTCTTCATAATTTTATCTTTCCGCATTTTTCCCTTTGCAGGATGGTAACACGTTTTGTACGACGCTGAATCCTCGTTTGTTCACCATGGACTTAAGCATTATAGAACATAAGATATTCTTTCAAGAGGTACGATTATACATCAATGTTGAGTTTATATTTGATTTCAGACGTTTTCGTCTCATTTCGAGTGGTTTCGTCCGATTTTAGACGGTTCCATCCCATGTCGGACCGTTTCGTCTGATTTGAGACGGTTTCGTCTCATGTCGGACCGTTTTTTCTGATTTCAGTCGGTTCCGTCTGATTTCCGACGGTTCGGTCTCATGTCGGACGGTTTCGTCTGATTTTAGACGTTCCCATCTCGTGTCAGATGGTTTCTCGTGTCATCTGTCATTTTTTTGCACAGTTTCGTCCAGTTTTAGACATTCGGTCTTATTTCAAATGGTTTTGTCTGATTTTAGACGCTTCTTTCCATCCAAAGTCGAACGCTTCCGTCTCATTTCAAAGTTGTTCATCTTATTTCTAACGGATTACACAGTTGTTTACCATATACTGTGGTATTACAGTACCTTAAATGTCCTTTCAAGGGACTAGACTGTACATGAACATGGATTTTACTCTTACTCAGGAAACAAGCTGAAAATGCTGGTTTTTTTGTTTTTTGTTTTCTCTCAGCTTCTTTCTCTGTGTGAAGCAGACGACACACAACTTTCCAAACTACCTTGTTATAAGGCAGTCCAGTCCCTGACTCCTCTTAGGAAAAGTGCTCTGAGTAAGTTCATTGACTCACATTTATAGGCACGCCTCTTTTTTACATATTGAGTTCTTACCCAGTCAACACAAGCAGACTTTCTTTGGTAGTGGACATGATGTATTGTTTCAGAATGACTTCACGGAAAGCAGGATATACTTAGACGTTTTTACCTTCTCGCGAGTTAAAATTTTCATCTTCTTGGGACGAGAAGCATGTGTCCCGAGACAAACCTTCTATTTCAAGAAGGGAGTTACTTAGTTTTGAGCAGTACTGCTCTATGACTTAGATCACTGACGGACGTTTTAGACACAAACAGCGTTTCCGCAAGGCTTGACTTGACATTATTGTAACGCGATTGTAAAAAGGATTTGTGTAGGTAAGATTGTCGCCATCTCATTAAGGCAAGAAATTATCACAATGAGGTTTAACTCTCATTCCTTACAAATTTTACAGATGCCCTAACCGCTTGCCATTACATCGTTCAAGCGAAGGATAAAATCTTCACTGTGTTGTACAAGGTAAACAATTTACGGACCTGTAAAGTTGACACTTTCAATCATTTCTTGTAAGATTGTCAAAGAAAACTTCTGTGTTTTTTTGTGGCTAGAGTTGTAGTGAAGGGAACAAATATATATTTAAGCATTTTAGAATTTTGTTTCAACGAAAAAAAATGATCCTAAGTGAGCCAACCTTTTTGACTTGCGCGGAATTGTTTATGTGTGTACAGTTTCACATGCAACAAACGGAAGCACTTCACTTCTCAAAGAGAACTCCTGGCTAATAGATGTATTTTGTACATGTAGGCGTTGAACTCTCCTGTGACAGAAATACAAGAAGCTGCTAAGGATTCTATGAAGAAGGTAGTGTTCTTTGTCACGAAAAACGAAGCGTACGTAACTGGCGTTTTTGAGCAATTGCTTCTTCATGGCTTCGTTTCTCTTATATTGTGCATTTATTATTGTTGCTTGAGAATGTGCATCGGTGCATTAGTTCATTTTTATTTCTTACCTGAAAGTAAACAATCTAGCTGATAAATCACCGAGTAAAAAAGTTCTTAATTGTCAAACACAGAGAACAGTATGAAGAAAATGAATATTGATATTAGGGCTTAAAAGGCTAATGTACGCATTCGGGACTACTTGACAAACTGATCAAACAGATGTTTGTGTTTTTCCAGTTCATGGCAGGAACTCAAGTAGACATGGAGCAGGTCCATATGAGCATAAGACCTCTGTTACTCAAGTTAGGAGACTACAGGAGTTTAAACTTACAGCTTATACAGGTTAGATAAGAACCGTATTAAACTACATTTCTTAAGTCAAAACATGTAAATGTTAAAAAATATTTGACAATGCTGTAGGATTTCGGACGAGTGCGTCCCATTTCAGGCGGGTGTGTCCCGTATGGAACGGGTGTGTTCCATTTCAGGCGTGTATGTCCCATTTCAGTTAGTGTGTCCCATTTCAGGCGAGTGTGTCCCATTCCGGGCGGGTGTGTCCCATTTTAGGTGGCTGTGTCCCATTTCTGGCGGGTGTATTCCATATTGGACGGGTGTGTCCCATTTCGGGCTGTTGTGTCCCATTTCAGGCGGGTGAGTCTTGATTTCGACCGTTTCATTCGATTATAGGCGGTTTTTCGTTTTCAGACGGTTTGGAGGAGAGAATGTGAATGGAATTTTAAGATTAATTTTCGAACCTTTTTGCGTCAAAATGAGCTAAAAGTTTGAAGAGAAGTTAAACATTTATATATATTTTTTAAAAAAGTTTAATGGCTATACTTTCCCAAAACTTTGTATTCTTTCAGCGATTATCTCATTTGATGGAGCTCTTTCCAGCCAGTTTTAACGAGAAACTCTGTGAGCAGCTTTTGGTAAGTTTTATTTCAGGGTTTTCAGTAACTTTTTACATAACCGGCTGCCGATGATGTAATAGGCGGCTATGCCCTAAAAGGGGCTTTAAGGCGAAACCCTAACACTAGGACCTGCTTGCAGGCTCAACAGACGGCGGCAAGAGTTCTTCTAGGCAGCCGTAGAAAATGGCTCTAACATGTTTAAACACTTTGCTAATTGTACGTCCTTCTTTACCAGTCTCACTTAAGAAAGTGGATTGATGTCGTCACAACTGGTACTACGCAGGCGCAGCAAGCGGCTGGAAAAACAAACCACACTCCTGAAGATGTAAGTGAGCTTAATTGGAAAATCCTTCACATTAGTAACGTGTTTAATTGTGCGTCGTTAAAGCATGCATATCTATGGCGTGACCAATACCACCTAAAGGTAAGCTGCAATTGTTGTTATGTCTCTTGAGAATCGCTTTCGGGCAGTGATCGGAAAAATCCGATTCCTTACCGACGCGCAGCTCACGAAACGAACTGAATCCAACAGGTGGATTGTAATTGAAGAAATTGCAGGAAAGATGCCTGATAAAAGCGCAGGCTCACCCAGGCTGGAACCGGTGCTTCTTGGATTTTAGTTAGGCGCTACCACCAACTGAGCCATGAAGCAACGTGTAGTTGGGAGTGGGGAAAATCTTGATGTGATTTTTGTTTCCCTGAAAGGAATTTTAAAGCAAAGAAATAACTGCGGGTTAGTGGAATGGTAGAGCAACAAGCTTCGTTAACCCGCGGAATAAAACTCTTCTCGTAGGACTCTCATGTTTTAAAGTGATCCACGCATGATATTTCTTCAATTTTTTTTCTTGCCAGTTTGCTCAAGAATTGAAAATCTGTGCTTCGATAATCAACATGTTCTACTTAATTCCTGCTGCGTCATCGAAGCTGATTGAACATCTCGTTACCTTGGTTCTGAAGGCAGAAAAAGCTCTTCTGATGGAGGTTGGCAATAATTGGTTTTAGAGCCGTTTGCAATGGGGGTCAAAACACCAAAGCCAAAATAATCCCAGTGACCAGTCAAAGGTTAACATTATCATTAGCCAATGAGAACTTAGAGTGAAATCAAACAAACTGCTTGAAGCGCGGGAAAAAGCGAATGGCCAAGCCCGGATTGTCTTTTGTTTTGCATCTGATTGGTTGAGAGGATGGTGCGGGTTTTCTGGACCAATCACAGAGCAAAATTAAGATAAACGAAAGCAATCCCGGACTACTTTCAACGGTTTGGTTTATGTAATAAGCCCATGACTCCCTTCTGCAGCCGATTTTAACACAAAGCCGCTTATCGATAAATAATCTTGTAGACAGTTGAATGAAAACCGATTTGGACATATTAATTTGGGTTATTTGTTGACACTGTTTAGATTGGAAGCCCGTTGAGAAAGCCACTGTTGAAGTTCTTGGTTCGCTATCCTATCCAGACCGTGGATTATTTCTTGTTGCAACTTGCAGGATCCCAAATGAACCGTCTGTTGATGGTAAGTAACTTTCATTTCCAGCAAAATTTCAACAGATGGGTGTCCTTTCCGTTGGGAAAATATCAGGATAAAACTAAGAGAATGAAGCTCTGTAATGCGGACCGTTACTGCTCCCGTCTCATCGCAGCTTAAGGTGATATATCTAACACCTTAACCCCTGAAGAGTGACTAGCATCCAATTTCACCTTACAATATCACCCCTGAATGACATTATGGTCACGAAAATAAAGGAAAAGATCACCAACTAAAGAAGCTCTTGATTGTTAAACAAATTCTCCTTGTCAGTATCGTAGGAAATGTATAGAGAACAGTATGGAGAATATAAAGACTAATATTAGGATGTAAAGGTTAATTGCAGCTCACCTGCATTGTTCATTTCTTTACTGGTGGTGTTATCTCTCTCTCTTCACAGTACATCCTTAGCCAAGATATCTCCAAACCTTTGAGACAGACTTTAGAGGCACACTCCTTAAAACTAGTTAACAGTACTTTCAGTATTCCTCAGGTAGGTTTCCCTCACTGAATTCACTGAGACATCGTTTGTAAACAAGTGTTCTTGGAAATAATATGCGATCCTTCCAAGAGGCTCCTCGACGTGATAGGAAAAAATTCCAAATCTGAGATAATAAATTCTCTTTTACTAAGTCGTTCATGCAATGCTCTCTTCTTATCAGCCCTCAGAGGATCAAGTTTCAGCTCTTCAGAACAAGATGGAGTTACAAAACCAAGGCATTAAGATCATCAGGTTTGACAAGTTTTGTTTTTTCCCCTTCATTTGGGTTCTCGCTAAGGTGATTGAATATTAATCTCTCAACAACTTTAATCAACCAGGTTGATGGTGAAGTTTAACGATTCATGGCTTCCAGAACACCCTGTTTTGGTGAGTGCTACAACATGTGCATTGCTCTGACCACATGTTGTGTTGACATATTTTTTAAAGGTTTTGAAATTTTGTGCGAAATTCTTGAAAAAGTTGTAATAAAAATTCTCTTTGCACTGATAGATTGGCCATTTACGAGGAATATGGGTATCTAGTGGTTTTCAGGACAGGCTCAAAAAGGTAAGGATATGTTTTTCTATAGAGCTCTTTGGAACTGAAAGTCTGTGTTTTCAACATTGTGTAATTTTCGTTTTCTCTTTTTTTTCCTTCCAGGATGGAACACCAATTCATCGCTGGAGAGAACCAAAGCTGTTAGCAAAATGTTTATTGAACTACATCAAGTAAGTCGGAGTTACGTTTATGTCGTGTTTCTGGATGAAGGTCTTTCTTCTTTCTTCTTTCTCTATAAACCAAACAATGTTCTTGGTCTCCTCCATTTTAGGCATAAACCATCGGAGGTGGAATTACTCTTCCAGTTACTTCGTGTGTTCACCATTCGTCATGTTCCTGACTTCCATTTTCTGAGAAAATTTCTAGATGAAACAGTGGCCAAGGTAAGTAAAGGTTTACTTCCGCTTCCTTTCGGGAGAAATGAACGTTTATAAGTGTGTCTTAGTGTTAGAGGCAGAAGAGATTCCTGCCTGGGAGTCATACCAATGTGTTCGGAGGTAACCTGTAAGCGTTAGCCCCTCTGGCCAAGAGCTAAACCTTAGCAACTTAGGTTAAGAAAACCAAATAATTCTGTGATGATCTAAGACTCACAAAGAGCACAGCCATAACCTCTTGCTTGTTATGAGTATTGTTGCAATTGAAGTGAATGGTGTGGTCTTTTGATCAAAAGGTTTATTTGTTTTAAATGATTTATTCACCTATTTATTTTATTTATTTTTGTTTTCTTATTTTTACCCCCTTTTTCACCAGGGTTACACGGTGGAACAAAAGAGAATTGTTTTCTTCAAATTTGTGGAACTGTTTCATGATCAGAATTTTCCTCAGGAACTTAAAGCCAAGGTGCTCTTTACAATAAACTTAGTTAGCTAAACCTGAACGCCTTAACTAGGTTTGATTTCTAGCAATCGGCGGCTCAAGCCATTCTTAAAACGTTCACTGTGTGTCCCTTCTCGTGCTCTGGTAAAGTGTTAGCGAGGCCTCTTACGCCAATCGCTCCAAGGGCTGTTTTTTCCGGTTTTATATTTGACGCAAGGCATAAACGCTGTCAATTTTGGCTGTAGGCGCTGTTGCACGTGGACAGGGCGTGAAATGGTAGTGACGTGATGTTGAAGCAAGGTATTATGCGAGATAGAATCTCGCATGCCTGCATCTCTCATACTTGCCGTATCTCTCATCTGAATAAAAATTCTGTCTGGTCTACCAATTACCTTGTTTTATAAGTTAAGGTTTAATCGTTGTACACTGGTAACTCACTTCGATATACTTGTTCTATTTTTTCCCTAGGCCTTGCAGTATGTGTTGATTCCCATGTTTCAAGTGTCGTTTGAGCGGGGGGAGGGTGACGGTCTGATAGGTGGACCCCCCAGCCCTGAACAAGACAGCAATGAAAATGTTATCAGCGTGTTTGTGTGTAAAGTTGTGGATCCTGATAACCCCTTTGGAACATCTGTAAGTAGAACTTTAATATTATCACTAAAAGTAATCCATTTTGATTTTGATAGACAGTCGCTTATAGCTCAGTCTGGGAGGCGCGGTGGCCTGACTTGCAGCGCGCTGAACTCCGTGACGAGAGGTCTGGGCTCGAGCCCTGGGCCCGAGCCCTGGACGTGTTTTGATGACAGAACAAATTTGTTTGGTATAAAAGGGTTTTCAGATATCTTCTTCAAGAGTACTCTCACCCGGTCGATCAGACCACACGACTATTGGCAGGTTTCGATGACAAAAATAAAGTTTTAAGTGTTGAGGATTTACATTCTTGGATCACTGGCATATTTTAGAACCCATGACAATTGTAGTATCTGTTTCTTTGTGATTGCAGGATGCAGTTCGTATTTTGTTGCTACAGTTCTCAGCGTTGCTGGTAGAGCACGCCTCACAACACATACATGACGCAGCAAACAAGTGGGTGAAGTGACTTTGAAACAATGTTTTATTTGCATGACTTAAAGAAAACAAATTGTGTTTTATGTAGTAATCGCGTCCTAGGGAGCTACCGAAAAATCATTCAAATTTAAAATAAAAAAATTTGCGTATTATTTTTGAGAGAGAAAACTCCTTTTTTGACAGATGCGAGATTATTCCAAGAGTAAAAACTATTAAGTAATTGATAACGCCTTTAAAAGTCCTTTTTGTGTTTTTAAGTGTCGTCCACTGGGTGGTTCTCCCTCTTCCTTTCCTAATTTAACATTTATAATAGTATTTTTTTTGTGTATAGTTATTACTGTACCGTAATCCAGGATTCTCTCATTGGACCTTGATCTTTAATCTGATGTAAACATTCCACATTGATAAATATGTATCGTGAAATTCTTACCAAGCCAAAAGTGGTTTGTAAATTACTTTTTCCCGTTTGTTTTTTAGGCGGCAAGGTATTAAATTACGTCGTTTGATGACATTTGCTTGGCCCTGTCTTTTGCCAAAACAGTGTGTGGTAAGATAACATTATCGCGCGATATTTACTAATAATTTAATGTCGCAGTGGTTTTTCTCCTTACGGGATCTATAGAAAAACTTATATTCGCGTACGGAAAGTAAGTAAATTCTCTTCCGTCACAATCACGTTTCTGCCGTTCTTTAATTTTTGTTAACTTTCTGGATCGTTATTTAACGGAGTTTCTATTTGTTTTAGGACCCATCCACAAAGTACCATGGTCATTTACTACTGGCCCACATCATTGCCAAGTTTGCTATCCACAAGAGAATCGTCTTACAGGTACAGCATGAGTATACCAAAAGAAAAGGAGCACTACATTGTCAAAGTTAAGGACTGTTAAGAGATCGCCAAAAGGCACAAGGGCGTGACTTGTGGGCGGGATGAGGATCCAAAGAACTTTGGATCCAATTTCATTCAGAAATAGTAATACGGTGTGTTTTAAAACACTGACACAAGTGGGCACGCCCTTAATGATAGGGAGGCTCTTGTGTCGGAAATGAGACTGAAAAATATTGTGAACACCTCTGTACAGAGTTGATTTAGGTAGAGTTGTAACAAGAGAGAGAGAAGAATAGATTTATTGTACAACGCCACGCAGTGATAAACGAGATGAAATGTCGACTTTTAAACCATTTCAGAGGACAGACCCAGAAAGAGGTGAATATTTCTAATGATCACATTTACTGTTCTGTTAGGTTTTTCACAGCTTGTTGAAAGCTCATGCAGTCGAGGCTCGCGGTGTTGTGAGACAGGCTTTGGACATTTTGACGCCTGCCATGCCAGCAAGAATGGAAGATGGAAACGTAAGGCATTATTTACAGATTTGCCTCCTACAGCAAATAAATAGTTTGAGAATCAGACGGTGCCTCAATTGTTCATCGATCTGATATCGAATTTTATTTTCTGAGTTCTAATACAAGGGTTTTTATTCCTTTTTAGGCGATGCTGACTCACTGGACGAAGAAAATTATCGTGGAAGAAGGTCACACTGTGGCCCAGTTGGTTCACATGCTGTACGTTCAAAATTTCTTGTGTCTAGTTCAAGTTATTTGAACATCCTGCCGATGTTCGTATGGTCTTAATTGGAAGAAGTAGCTCGGTTAGAAAACCCGGTGCTGTAGTCTCTGACTCCTTCTCAGTCCTCTCTCTTCTTATAAAACTTTTAAGAGGGAAGCGCGCGAGAGGTGCGCCCGTGTGAGAAGATAGGAAGGGAAACACGCTCTAGCGAACAAACGAAAACATACATTAGTTTATAGAGTAGTAGTGTAGTCTGATTCCAAAAACATTATGGAATATGTTTTCCAACAGGACATTATTGGTTCGTCATTATCGGGTGTACTATCCTGTAAGAATCCATCTGATTCAACACATGGTTAGCGCTATGCAGAGGCTAGGATTTACCACCAGTGTAAGTGAAGAAAATCTCGACAATATGATACCTCTCCTAAATTATTTTCCTCAGTTTTGAGAAAAGAAAATTAACTTAACCTTAGCCCTAACAGAGTGCACATTTCCAGTTCTAGAAAATTCCTTTTTTCTTTTTCTTATGCATTCTTTGATTGGTTAGACGCTTCCCAAGATGGCGATGTAATTTTGAAGTCGTCAGCAACGTTCTCTCGCGCTGGGCGCCCTTTGCGAATATCGGTATAACTTCACATGGTTTACTGTATTCGTATTTCCTGGCGTTTTATTTACGACAATCAGTCAAAAATTCTTATATTAAAGCACTAAAAAGTCTCAAATATTTTGTTAATGTGTTTAGGCGTCTATTGAACATCGTAAACTTGCTGTGGATCTGGCAGAAGTGATCTTAAAATGGGAATTGCAACGAATTAAAGATGACCAGGAACAAACGACAACTTCAGAGGTATACCATGTTGTAGCAAGGTAGTATGTTGTAGCGGTTTTTTAAGAAAACACACACTTTTTTTCACACTACAGCCCATTTAATGTACGGAATATTTTATGGTAAGTTAATTACGGATACTTCAAGTTTAGTAGTTAAATTCGATCGTGTCGTAGGAAGAATCTTGGTTTCAGACAAGTTGTAAAAATACCCACAGTTCTGATAAGGGGGGGTGGGGGAGGTCTTTGAACCCCCTGGACCCTCCCCCTGGACTGCCACTGTTGTATAGTGTTAGCAGAAATATGTTTGTTCATCTCGTGTTTCGAAAACTGAATGAAGCCATATACTCTGCCGAACTAACAGTTCACTACAGAAAACCTTTTTTTTTTTTTTACTTATTTTAACGTTTTGCTGTTTCAGCAGACGACGGAATCTTCTAGTTCATACACTACAACAGCTTCACAGGTAGGGTTACAATCACAAACATTTGATTTTGTCGTAGCTCTTTGACCTCTGGTGAGTAATACTCTGAGTTTCTGCATTAATTTGTTTTCTTTTTCTTTTATAGGTGGGAGGTGTTAAGCGACCTTCTGAAGATACTCCCAGTCAAGAAACAAAAAGAACGAGATCCATGTCCCAGGTTAGCAAAATGATGCTCTGTTCTCGTTTTGTTATAGCAATTGTCTATCGAACGTCGATAATAATTCTTGATTCCTTTGGTTTTACTACACTACGCTCTTTGATTGGTCTAGAAACTCGCGCCACCTTTTCAACCAATCAGATTCAAAACGTGAACCATTGACGTCTTGGTCACTCGCACTTTCCCGCGCTTGCAACTGATTGCATTTGTGTGTTTTGAGTTCTCATTGACCCATTCTGATTGGCCGTAGTTTTCACGTAGGGTTTATCTACCCTCTGTCAAAAAGCGCAATAGCTGCATTATTGATTCAATTTTTCAAAATTTTTGATAGAACTTTTGATGACTCTCAGTTATTGGGATTGGGTTAAGAATCGGTTATTTCATAAAATTCAGTCATGTGATGTCTGTTATATCGTGTTTAGAGCACGGCCTCAAGGGTAGCAGTTCAGGAGAGTCAAATCAAATCTCCACTGGAGAAGCACCACGCTGATGCTGTTGTCAACTTCCTTCTTAGGATAGCTTGTCAGGTAAAACAGTGAGTCTGTGCAGGTGAACCAGGAAACTGCCAGGGAAATTTAAGGGGGGGGGGGGAAGGGTGAAGAGGGCCTTTTATGAACTGGCATCCCGTCCAGGGTTTATAGCCATACTCTTAGTTCGTAAGCTGATTTAATGTAGTTTTAACTCGGAGAATGGCTAAAAGCAATTTCTGAGTTATTGTTTACATGTGAGTTTATATGTGAGTTCGGTTGTCGTCATAGGTGAATGAACCATCGACTACTATGGGATCCCCTGGTGAAACTCTTTCCCGCCGATGTGTAGTCCTCCTGAAAACTGCATTGAAACCAGATGTGTGGCCAGGTGAGTGACAAGGGGTGGAGCCTGTGCAGTTTGAGTGACAAAGGGTGGAGCCTGTACAGTTTGAGTGTCAAGAGGTGGAGCGTATACAGTTTGAGTGATAAGAGGTGGAGCCTATACAGTTTGAGTGACAAGAGGGAGATTATGTTAAGCTTATATGACAAGAGATGAAGCAGGAAAATTTTAATTGACAAGAAGCTCAAAAAAAAAAAAATCAAGGTAGAGTGACAGGGTTTAAACCTAAGACTTTTGTTGAAAATAGGGTGAAGCATATACAATTCGATTACCATGATGGGGAAAATATGAACCTTTTTCCTTTGTTGTAGGTACTGATCTGCGGGTTGGATGGCTGGACAAAATCTTAGTTACTGTGGTACGTACTATGATATGTTCTTTGAATCATTAAGCATTTGTTTGCTGGGATCTTTTACTTGGTTTTTTGAAAAATTTTTTTATATATATACGTTTTCAGTACTGATCTTCTTTTAATCTTTTAGGATCAAACGCCGGCCGCCAATTATGCTAACGTGTGCACAGCTATTGAGATATTGACTTATCTACTGTCAGTCTTGGTAAGTGGAAAATATTTGAATGTTTTATGATGGCACCATGTTCTGTATATCAGCAATTTGTTGATAAGCGACTGGATGTCATAGAAACAGATTTCTATCCGGTGATTGGCTGTTTCCTTATTACTCATTACTTTTCAAGGAAGTCGTTTAATTTTTCTTTGCTGTTTCTTTCAGCCGCAGCAAACCATCCTGACTCTGTTTAAACCTCTTCAAAGAGGAATTGCTACCTGTATGACTTGCCAGAACACAAAGGTACTCGTTTTTAATTTCTGTTTTTGTAATAGAAGTGTACTGTAAATTGTTTAACCTATTTTGTCATCTTGAATGTAGGGGTAAGTGATTGAGCGATTGTGCGCACGTGTGTGTACAAAGGGTTATTGGGTGGATGAACAGGTGAGTTGGTGAGTGGGTTTTCGTAAATACACAGATCCACAGCGCGTGTGTAAATCATTTTGTGAAGACAGGGAGTTGGGATAAGGAGTGAAATTGAGCCAAGGGAAACGAAAAACGAGGAATGAGGAATGATGAACGGGAAATGGTAAAGGAGTGGGATATGAGAAATTCAAATTAACTTTGATTGTATGCATTTAATGTGGAATATGACAGTTTAAGTTAGGTAATATAGCACTCTGTTAAACATGAAGAGACAAGCGTGCATCACGGCCTTGACAGCACCACCCATTTTACGCAATGCAGACCTATTTTTGTTTCCTGTACTTAATTGTAACCGAAGGCATTTTAAAGTTACTCTGCTGGGTCACGAGATTTTGTGCGCACTTCAGTATTCTTCGTGTGTGTCAAAAAAACTCGACTAGCGAATGTAACGATTCTGTGTAACAGAGAACATGTATGGGAACGCGTTCCGATGCTCTACCACTGAGCCACAGAGACTCTACGGTGAGCGAGGTCTATTACGAAGTTCATATGACACGCGTCCTGCATACTGCCAAGATTAGCAAAAGATGTTGAACACTACTTGATGTGTTCAGTTCTGCGCACAAATTACAATAAGTGTTGTATGTTTTTCTCTGTAGGTTATACGTGCCATTCATACTCTTCTCGCCAGATTGATGACGTTGTTCCCCTTGGAATCAAGTAAATATGTAGCCCTTTTTTTATCTCTTCAGTGTTTGATTCACATGCTATTTTCTTAAAAAGTGCGTTAGTAACTTAACCTAAGTTTGGAATTTCCTCTTTAGGTGCAGCAACTTCAAAATATGATGAATTAGAAACCTTGTACGGAAACGTCGGCAAAGTAATATTTGACGGCCTCACAAACTACGAGAGGTATTCATGTTTTTCCTGTTGGAAAATTTAAAACCGTACATCATTTCTGTGAACCGTGTGTTGTAACTTTATGGATCATTTTTGTTGTGCACGTTTTAGGTCGGCCAATGGAGCAACATCTATTTTCTACGGACCTTTGATGATGTTGAAAGCAGCTTGTATGAACAATCCTTCATACATTGATCGGTAAGGTTACATTTATTTGATTGCCCAGCTAACTGCAAGAAACTTTGCCGTATCTTATGTATTTTCATGACCAGATGCACTTTAAATTCATTTTGTTTGCACCTATTGTAAGACCGCGTTCTCTTCATCTAGTAATATTCAGTTTTTTTGTTTTTTTTTCCTGATTGCTTATATTATATTCTTCGCTATTTATTTTACATTTTCCTTTAGGTTGATGACTCAGTTTTTCAAAGCATTGCAGCGAATGCACAAGGATCATATTAATGCTGTGCTCGGAGAAAGCACAGGTATTTTTTTGTTAGAAAAAGTTTATTCCTCTCACTGAGATATTTTTAAATAAATTGTTAGAAGGAGGGGGGGAGTGTTATGGTTTCGTCGTAGGAGACGCCCTGTCCTTATGGTTAATGCGCTGGACTCTGGGGCGAGGGGTCTGGGTTCGAGACCTGGCCTGGTCATTGTGTTGTGTTCTTGGGCATGACACTTTACTCTCACGGTACCTTTCGCCACCCTCTCCGCCTAGTAGAATAAACTGGTACCGGCGTCATAACATCAGTATGCAAACTCTCCATACTATGCTCTATACATTTCTTAAGGGGCTGACAAGATGAATTTATCTAACAATCAAGAGCTTTTTTAGTTGGTGATCATTTCCTTTATTCTCGTAACCTAAATTTGTGATTCGGGGATGATATTGTAAGGAGAAATTTGGTGCTAATCACTCTAAGGGGTTAAAGGGTTAGGGAAACTGGAATAAGCCTCGGCTGAATGAGCCACATGGCTCGAGTACAGACTTAACTTATCTATGGTTTGGCCAACGTAATTTCGTTTGTTGTCTTCTGCCTTCTTAGGTGCAAGTGATATGTTGATTCTGTGTCTGGAGTTGATCCGTGGCCGACTCGGAGTTATGAGCGCCGAGATTAGAAAACTGTTCTTTATCATCCTCACGACACTGATTGAAAAATCACCCGTAAGTACACCAATTGTTTTGAGATTTTTTCAAATCTTGCTAACCCTCGTAGATTGTCAAATTGTGTCAGAGTGAGATCAAGGAGTTACATTTCATGAAGAATTTCCCTCTGTTAAAGAAATTCTTGCCTGTACCATTGCACTCTCCTGTACAACTTTGATGTAAACATAGCTACTTCTAATCCACACATATTTTTTCTTTCAGGATTCAAAACTTCTTCGCGCCATCACGAAGTTTGTAGAAGACTGGATAAAGACCAAAATGGTAACCTCGCAAAATGACATTACGAAACATTTCACTTGTAATTTTACTTTTTACTTAAGGTCTATGTTTCATTTTAGACGCAAATGACGATTCAGCGGTTGCCCACTCTAAGAGAGAAGTCCTTGCTACTGGTGCGGATGATGGCTAATTACGAGAAGAGATTCCCTGAGGATTTTGAACTCCAAGCGCAGTTTTTAGAGCTTGTTAATTACGTCTATAGGTAGGAAGACGATAAATCTTGCTGAGATCTCACTAGTCTCTGATAGCTACCATACATTTCTTTGTAAATATTCTGCCTTTTGAGCTTTATTTCTTTCTCTGTTGCAGAGATGAGACTTTAGTTAGCACCGAACTGGCTTCAAAACTTGAGCCTGCATTCCTGTCAGGATTGCGGTGTATCCAACCACAGATCCGGTCAAGATTTATGGAGGTAACGTGTTTATATAACCTGCCCTTACCCCTCCCTCCCACCTCAACATTAAAATTCTCGTCCCTGCTGCGTTACATTTTATGTTATGTCGAAAAGTAGAATCTCGCGTGACATAAAAACACTATTTTATTTCAGTGTTACTTGTTATAAAAAACGTGTGATGAAGAAGTCTAACAATGATTTTAATTTTAGGAACCAGTCAAACCGGTCATTATTTATTGCTGGGGGGGACGGATTTTTTCTGAGGGGGGGGGAGGGAACGGAGGGGGATCATTAGAATACTATAGAGCCTCAGGAGGGAAATTTTATTGTGACAGAACCAAAATTCTCTGGGTCCCCTCCCTCTCTTCCACACTCTCCCCCCCCTCTCGGGGATAAATGTGGACCGGTGCCTTAATGACAATAAGCGAGAAAGTGTATCGCTTTAACTTTCTAGTTGACACACTTGAATAAACATTGGTTATTGTTATTTGTGACAGGTTTTTGATAAAACCATGAAGAAGAAGCTGTATGATCGACTGCTTTATGTCTTCTGTTCTCAGGTAGAATTGATGCTCGGCGCTTTCTGTGTTGTAGTTGAAACACTTTGTTGTACTTAAAAGCTAACAGCGCACTTTCACTTTTTCTCCAACAGAACTGGGAAGCAATGGGTCATCACTTCTGGATTAAACAATGTATCGAGGTAGGAAATGGACTGTTGGTAATGAAAAGAAAAAGATGTCGATCATCGAGCTCTGTTCGGTTCATTTTGTTGTGTTCTGAGGCAAGACTCTGTCTCTCACAGTGCCTCTCTCTCCATCTTGGATTATAGACGATATCGGTGAAATGTCAAGGAGATCAGACATCTTTTTGGTCAATATCAGTATCTGAGCACCCGCGCGCCTACCCCTCCCCTGACCCAACTTGTTATCAGTTGAATGTTCTCGAGTTAGGGGAGAGGTAGTTGAACAGGAGCCCATATACTGACTTTGTTCCCAAATTTTTGCGGAAGGTTGGGTAACCTGTGTCCTAGCATCCAGGAAGAGTAGTAATATTGCTGGTCGCCTCAAGCTATGTACGTGTACTGTTCCTTTTTTTTAGCTTCTCCTAGCTGTGTCTGCATGCGAAAGGCCTGTAACACCCTCCAGTACATTCAGCATGCTTCCTTCTGTGACATCGTTCCTTCGGTCTGCTGACAACCAATCAGGTAAAGAAATTCTTGCACATGTTCAGCGACAGAAGACCGCTGTCCCTGAGGATAGTAAAGAAGAAAAAATGGAAACAGACAGCAGCGCTGCTTCAGAAAACAAGAAGGAGAAAGATGACTCTCGTTATCTCTTTGAGATCGATGATTCCGAGGTACATAAGCAAGTAAAGCAATACATTTTTTTGAAAGATTAAGGCTTTTGGATATCAAAAGCATAGTCTCATAATTGTTATAGCCTTTCAATCCCAGGACCTCCTTCCTTTCTGTCTGCCATACAATTTTTATGACGTTAGTTCGAGAACTTTGTATTTGATCAACTAATAATCCCCTTATTGCTATTTTTCTTTATTCCCATCACTTTTCTGTTTGATATTGTATGGGTATGTAAAAGAAATTCTGTTTTGGTCACTTATGGGAGTTTAAAGGTTAACTCAGACAGAGATAACCTTTGTTTTTCCTTTGTTGTTGTAGCAACTTCTCAGCGCTTTGGACAAAGGTTCTCCCGTCAGTCGAACAAAGGAGAGAGACGCTGTCAAGTTACTGGCTGAAAAACACGGAAAATTCATGGACAAGCTGCGTGAGGTCAAGGTACAAATTGCTTTTGATCTTAGCTACAGAAACATGCTCCCTGGCTATACTTCCCCCACCCCCCTTTCCCCCCCCCCCCCCCCCACGAGATTATTCCAGTGGTTCTTCTTCCCTGGCCTTGTTCTTAGCGTTTAGCAAGTAAAATGGTTTGAAATCCGTGCGAAATAATCGTTTGAAACGGCGCGAAAATAGTGGCATACCAAAAAACCAGGGAGGCTTGGGTCGGGTCGCACAGAGAACATGTTCATCACGCTACCGACCTAAACCTCTCTCGTTTTTTCACTTCTCCACTTCTATCGCGCTGTTTACCATAATCGCGCTTTGTTTTACTCACTAAATGTCTGGAACGGGCTAAATATTGACAGAAATAAACTAATTTTATGGTGCTTTTGTATTGTATGCTTAAGTAATTATTTACTACATTGTTGGTGGAAGCGGTATACATCATTATTCACTTCCACTTCGGTAAATAAACGTTTATTATTTTTGGGAAAATATAATTAAGAGAACATAATTAATGAGTGATTCCTTTTAGGAAGTGTCACAAAAATTTATGTCAAAGATTATGGCCTCAAAAACCTCTTTTGAGCTTACGCTGCATGTTATTTTAAACGTTAGCCAAGTCGAAGCTGAACGGAGGTGGTTGAATGCTCTGTCGTTCTTTTTCTTCTTTAGACCGCATCGTTCCTGGGACCCATGGCTCAGTTGTGCCACAAGTACTCCAACCTGGCACATACTGTGTGGATAGATCTGTTCCCACAGCTGTGGAATCTGCTGACTGAGAAACAACAACAAGTAAGCTGATACATATCCTATGATCGAGCATGAAAATGCTTTTTAATGAGTGCACCTTTTAGGATGTTGCTGTTTCATTGCTCCAAAGGCTACAAATCACTGCGCGCGCCCTCAGCTGGCTTTGAAATTTGTCAGTCGAGACATAGCAACCAATCCTAATACTGCAATTAGCAAGCAAACATTAGAATGCGTTTGCAAATTGTTATTCAAGACATAGCTGTCAATCGAGACACTACATTTAAGAAGTGAAACTTAATCCCGAGCAAACAACAAGCGCGCATCACAGTTTGGTTGCACTTTAGACCTAAACTTGTCTATTAAGATAAAGTTATATTCTAAGTTTAGCAAACCACAATCACCTTGTTATCTATAAGTCATGTCTTTTTTTTCCCGTCACGCTTGTTTTCCAGGTTCTAGCGGGTGAGATCAGTCCGTTTATGTGTAGTGGAAGTCATCAGGCCCAAGTGGATACATTTCCCAGTTCAGTTCACACCATACTGGAAGGTGTCTCTAAGTGTAACCCAGCTGTTCCCATTCGACCCTGTATACTCAAGGTAGGATTACGCCTTCATATTCACGTAACTAACGTAGAACGACTACGCTGTACGCCACTGTTCTCGAATCTTCCAAAATTCGGTTCGACTCTTTACGCGCGTTATTTGCAACCCGTTTTAATCTCGACATACGGTTATGGGAGGACAAAAATGGCGTGCCACATAATAAGAGGCGGTTTGATTGAGTATCGTCAGATCAGAGCAAGAGTAAACATCGCAAGAAGCCAATCAGAACTTAGATTGAATAAAATAAATGTAGCCGGCCTTGAGCGCGAGAAAACTGGAGTAACCAGGTTAAATATCTCATTAGTTGGGAGTGTAGTGCGAGTTTTATTGACCAATCACAACGCGTAGTCGAGCAAAACCAAGATAGTCCCGGATCGCTTTCGACATTCGGTTGAAAAATTGTTTCATGAGAGTGTGATTTCAGTTAAGCTTGTTTTTAGAAGTTTCTTTTTATCTTGTTTTGTAGTATCTTGGTAAAACGCACAACTCGTGGCATCGTTCAGGACTTATGTTGGAGGACTATGCCAGTTTGTGTGAAGAATATTCCAATCATCAGATAACACATCAACAACAACAAGTCATTGATTTTTCGCCGTTTGAAGAAGACCCGTCAGAGATTAACCAACATGTATGTTATAAACCATGCGATAAGCTTCTTTTGTTTTACTTAAATTCCTTTTGACATCGCCACCTCTGACTCAGAGATTGTTACAGGCCTGATTTTGAATGGATTTGAGAGAGATTTGAAAACAATATCGCTTTTGTTGGTTCATTATCGATAACGCCATTGCAATGCTTTAAAAACGTTTTGCTGATGTTTCAATTTGTTTTTCTTATTAACGAGTCTCTGTTATCGCAGGTGAAACGAATGCGTTTCTTTCTTTTGATGTTAGTCAAAGTAAGGGCTGTAAGGCAAAGGGAGAGCAGTATAGGAGAGGCAGAAACGTCCGTAGTTTTGGTTAATGATAAACGAGAACTGTGAAGAAACAGAGAAGGCGTTTAGTAAACTTCCTTTACTAAAAACGTATGGTAGTTGTTGACACTCATGCGAGGTATTGTTTCTTTGTTGTGATCAGGAAACTCTTGACGCTTTAGCGGAGATGTACTCATTACTAAATGAAGAAGACATGTGGGCTGGTCTGTGGCAGCAGCGCTGTCGGTATCCTGAGACAGCCACTGCTATCGCGTATGAGACCCAGGGCTTCTATGAACAGGCACAGTCTGCTTACGAAGTGGTACGTGAAATCATGTATAGTCAACCAAGCTCTTAAGTTTGCGCCTTAAGAATCTGCATATAAATTTTTTCAAGGGGCCATCAGTTTTAATCTTCTCCATCCTTCCCAATCCTTCTTACTTCTTGGTTTATTGTTACCTTTCTTGTGTTTTTTATATATTTTTTATATTTTGCGTTATCGTTCAAAGTGGAAATTATTCTGCATAGCTAAAAGAGGCTATTCACTATTTGTTTTCTGGTTTGTTTGACTGTTACGTTGGCATCTCGCGCACTATTTGTTCTCTGCTTTGTTTAACTGTTACGTTGCTCTCTCGCGCACTATTTGTTATCGGGTTTGTTTAACTGTTATGTTGGTATCTCGCGCACTATTTGTTTTCTGGTTTCCTTAACTGCTAAGTTGGTATCTCGCGCGCTATTTGTTTTCTGGTTTGTTAAACTGTTACGTTAATATCTCGCGCACTATTTGTTTTCTGGTTTGTTTACATGATACCTTGGTATCTCGCGCACTATTTGTTTTCTGGTTTGTTAAACTGTTACGTTGATATCTTGGGCACTATATGTTAAACTGTTACGTTGATATCTCACACAGTATTCGCTCTCTGGTTTGTTTCACTGTTACGTTGGTAATTCGCCCACTAATTGTTTTTTGGTTTGTTCAACTGTTACGTTGGCATCTCGCGCAGTGTTTCTCTTTCAGTTTGATTAACTGTTACGTTGATATCTCGCGCACTATTTATTTTCTGGTTTGTTTAACCGTTACGTTGGAATCTCGCGCACTTGCGCACTATTTGTTTTCTAGTTTCTTTAACTATTACGTTAATGTGTTGCGCACTAATTGTTTTTCTGCTTTGTTTAACTAATATGTTGGCATGTTGCACACTATTTGTTTTCTACTTTCTTCACCTATTGCGTTGGTGTGTTGCGCATTATTTGTTTTCTCCTTTCTTAAGCTATTACGTTGGTGTGTTGCGCACTTTTTGCTTTTTACTTTCTTTAACTATCACGTTGGTATGTTGCGCACTATTTCTTTTCTACTTTCTCTGACTATTACGTTTGTGTGTTGCGCACTATTTATTTTCTACTTTCTTTAACTATTACGTTGGTGTGTTGCGCACTATTTGTTTTCTATTTTCTTTAACTATAACGTTGGTGTGCTGCGCACTATTTGTTTTCTACTTTCTTTAACTATTACGTTGGTGTGTTGCGCACTATTTGTTTTCTACTTTCTTAACCTATTACGTTGGTGTGTTGCGCACTATTTGTTTTCTACTTTCTTTAACTATAACGTTGGTGTGTTGCGCACTATTTGTTTTCTACTTTCTTAACCTATTACGTTGGTGTGCTGCGCACTATTTGTTTTCTACTTTCTTTAACTATAACGTTGGTGTGTTGCGCACTATTTGTTTTCTACTTTCTTTAACTATTACGTTGGTGTGTTGCGCACTATTTGTTTTCTGTTTTCTTTAACTATAACGTTGGTGTGTTGCGCACTATTTATTTTCTACTTTCTTTAACTATTACGTTGGTGTGTTGCGCACTATTTGTTTTCTATTTTCTTTAACTATAACGTTGGTGTGCTGCGCACTATTTGTTTTCTACTTTCTTTAACTATAACGTTGGTGTGTTGCGCACTATTTGTTTTCTACTTTCTTTAACTATTACGTTGGTGTGTTGCGCACTATTTGTTTTCTATTTTCTTTAACTATAACGTTGGTGTGCTGCACACTATTTGTTTTCTATTTTTTTTACCTATTACGTTGGTGTGTTGCGCACTATTTGTTTTCTATTTTCTTTAACTATAACGTTGGTGTGTTGTGCACTATTTATTTTCTACTTTCTTTAACTATTACGTTGGTGTGTTGCGCACTATTTGTTTTCTATTTTCTTTAACTATAACGTTGGTGTGCTACGCACTATTTGTTTTCTATTTTTTTTACCTATTACGTTGGTGTGTTGCGCACTATTTCTTTTCTATTTTCTTTAACTATAACGTTGGTGTGTTGCGCACTATTTATTTTCTACTTTCTTTAACTATTGCGTTGGTGTGTTGCGCACTATTTGTTTTCTATTTTCTTTAACTATAACGTTGGTGTGCTGCACACTATTTGTTTTCTATTTTTTTTACCTATTACGTTGGTGTGTTGCGCACTATTTGTTTTCTATTTTCTTTAACTATAACGTTGGTGTGTTGCGCACTATTTATTTTCTACTTTCTTTAACTATTACGTTGGTGTGTTGCGCACTATTTGTTTTCTACTTTCTTTAACTATTACGTTGGTGTGCTGCGCACTATTTGTTTTCTACTTTCTTTAACTATAACGTTGGTGTGTTGCGCACTATTTGTTTTCTACTTTCTTTAACTATTACGTTGGTGTGTTGCGCACTATTTGTTTTCTATTTTCTTTAACTATAACGTTGGTGTGCTGCGCACTATTTGTTTTCTATTTTCTTTAACTATTACGTTGGTGTGTTGCGCACTATTTGTTTTCTATTTTCTTTAACTATAACGTTGGTGTGTTGTGCACTATTTATTTTCTACTTTCTTTAACTATTACGTTGGTGTGTTGCGCACTATTTGTTTTCTATTTTCTTTAACTATAACGTTGGTGTGCTACGCACTATTTGTTTTCTATTTTTTTTACCTATTACGTTGGTGTGTTGCGCACTATTTCTTTTCTATTTTCTTTAACTATAACGTTGGTGTGTTGCGCACTATTTGTTTTCTACTTTCTTTAACTATTACGTTGGTGTGTTGCGCACTATTTGTTTTCTATTTTCTTTAACTATAACGTTGGTGTGCTGCACACTATTTGTTTTCTATTTTTTTTACCTATTACGTTGGTGTGTTGCGCACTATTTGTTTTCTATTTTCTTTAACTATAACGTTGGTGTGTTGTGCACTATTTATTTTCTACTTTCTTTAACTATTACGTTGGTGTGTTGCGCACTATTTGTTTTCTATTTTCTTTAACTATAACGTTGGTGTGCTACGCACTATTTGTTTTCTATTTTTTTTACCTATTACGTTGGTGTGTTGCGCACTATTTCTTTTCTATTTTCTTTAACTATAACGTTGGTGTGTTGCGCACTATTTATTTTCTACTTTCTTTAACTATTGCGTTGGTGTGTTGCGCACTATTTGTTTTCTATTTTCTTTAACTATAACGTTGGTGTGCTGCACACTATTTGTTTTCTATTTTTTTTACCTATTACGTTGGTGTGTTGCGCACTATTTGTTTTCTATTTTCTTTAACTATAACGTTGGTGTGTTGCGCACTATTTATTTTCTACTTTCTTTAACTATTACGTTGGTGTGTTGCGCACTATTTGTTTTCTACTTTCTTTAACTATTACGTTGGTGTGCTGCGCACTATTTGTTTTCTACTTTCTTTAACTATAACGTTGGTGTGTTGCGCACTATTTGTTTTCTACTTTCTTTAACTATTACGTTGGTGTGTTGCGCACTATTTGTTTTCTATTTTCTTTAACTATAACGTTGGTGTGCTGCGCACTATTTGTTTTCTATTTTCTTTAACTATTACGTTGGTGTGTTGCGCACTATTTGTTTTCTATTTTCTTTAACTATAACGTTGGTGTGTTGTGCACTATTTATTTTCTACTTTCTTTAACTATTACGTTGGTGTGTTGCGCACTATTTGTTTTCTATTTTCTTTAACTATAACGTTGGTGTGCTACGCACTATTTGTTTTCTATTTTTTTTACCTATTACGTTGGTGTGTTGCGCACTATTTCTTTTCTATTTTCTTTAACTATAACGTTGGTGTGTTGCGCACTATTTATTTTCTACTTTCTTTAACTATTACGTTGGTGTGTTGCGCACTATTTGTTTTCTATTTTCTTTAACTATAACGTTGGTGTGCTACGCACTATTTGTTTTCTATTTTTTTTACCTATTACGTTGGTGTGTTGCGCACTATTTCTTTTCTATTTTCTTTAACTATAACGTTGGTATGTTGCGCACTATTTATTTTCTACTTTCTTTAACTATTACGTTGGTGTGTTGCGCACTATTTGTTTTCTACTTTCTTTAACTATTACGTTGGTGTGTTGCGCACTATTTGTTTTCTACTTTCTTTAACTATTACGTTGGTGTGTTGCGCACTATTTGTTTTCTATTTTCTTTAACTATAACGTTGGTGTGTTGCGCACTATTTGTTTTCTATTTTCTTTAACTATAACGTTGGTGTGTTGCGCACTATTTATTTTCTACTTTCTTTAACTATTACGTTGGTGTGTTGCGCACTATTTGTTTTCTATTTTCTTTAACTATAACGTTGGTGTGCTGCGCACTATTTGTTTTCTACTTTCTTTAACTATAACGTTGGTGTGTTGCGCACTATTTGTTTTCTATTTTCTTTAACTATAACGTTGGTGTGCTGCGCACTATTTGTTTTCTATTTTTTTTACCTAGTACGTTGGTGTGTTGCGCACTATTTGTTTTCTATTTTCTTTAAATATAACGTTGGTGTGTTGCGCACTATTTATTTTCTACTTTCTTTAACTATTACGTTGGTGTGTTGCGCACTATTTGTTTTCTATTTTCTTTAACTATAACGTTGGTGTGTTCTGCGCACTATTTGTTTTCTACTATAACTATAACGTTGGTGTGTTGTGCACTATTTATTTTCTACTTTCTTTAACTATTACGTTGGTGTGTTGCGCACTATTTGTTTTCTATTTTCTTTAACTATAACGTTGGTGTGCTGCGCACTATTTGTTTTCTACTTTCTTCACCTATTGCGTTGGTGTGTTGCGCATTATTTGTTTTCTCCTTTCTTAAGCTATTACGTTGGTGTGTTGCGCACTTTTTGCTTTTTACTTTCTTTAACTATCACGTTGGTATGTTGCGCACTATTTCTTTTCTACTTTCTCTGACTATTACGTTGGTGTGTTGCGCACTATTTATTTTCTACTTTCTTTAACTATTACGTTGGTGTGTTGCGCACTATTTGTTTTCTATTTTCTTTAACTATAACGTTG